CCATAGCACACAGCAAATTCCAGCTGACTGGGGGTTAAAGAGTCTACTCCTCTTTGCAGCTCCATCTAAATGAGGAGTCATTAGCGGTGATAAACGTTGGGCTTGTCAGCAAGGGGCGTGGCCGGACAGTGCACAGCCAGGGAGATGCTAGACCTCTTCCAGGTCCAGCATGAAGTCCAGAAGCTTCTATACAAATTTCACTGTTTCAAATAATACACGCATTCTCTTCTGCTCCACAAAATGTCCTTTGAACCAAACAGTACATAACCAGTTGAGAGGTTGGTTTTCGTTTCTTTTTGCCCTTTTCCTGACAAAAGCACCGTAATTTTCTAAAACGCTAAGTGTCAGTTTGATCCAAATAAATATACCAGACTAAATTAAAGAAATGGACCCAGCATGCTGCATTATACTTGCTTGGGTATGCAGCAACCAAAAACCCACTCAATAAAGGGTTTATTAGTAATGGGCTTTCAGCGTGACACGGCTGGCAGGGCTCACAGGACCCCAGAATGAATCCAGAGGAATGTCCTGTGTGTGTCCGCCAAAACATGGCCCACCTTTCCAGAGTGGAATGCTGGAATGGGACCGGAGGTAGCGGGATAGGGGTAGGGGGAAAAGCAACGTTTTGGATGCAAAGTTGGAAGTGGTAATAATTTGTAATGGCTTTGGCTAACCATGTACAGTGGGGAAATGACAAACGTATCATTTAGAAGCTGCCAGACCAAATATAATGACTTATATTAATATGGACAGATTCTTCTCGGCTTATTATGCAAAGGAAGGGAGGCTGTGATAACCTTAATTAAATGAAAGGACCAGCAACTGTTTTTTAACTCCAAGAGCATTTCAAATTTTCATGCGCGCCTTGGATTGCCCATGGGAATGCCGAGACTGTAATGAAGTTGTTTAATTATATTGAGATGAAACGTACGCATGCATACACACACGTCCCGGCAGCACCTGGATGCCCTGCGCTGCTCCCCGCCGAATCGAGGGACAGAAAGCAATCAAGTAAGTGGATTCAATTTTGAGAGCTTCCAGGGAGGTGCTGCTGATGCCAGAATCCTAGCGGTGTTCTCGCGTGTACCCTGGAGTTGCATTTGGGGGGTGGTGTTCTTGGGTCAGGGGAGGCTGTCAAGCTCCCATCAGTACAGTGTGTAACCTACCCATTTCCTGATTTAGTAGGGAGGCTACACAGTTGTGCCAAGATTCTGGTCTCCCAATCCTTAGCCAAGTTTTCTTTGCCTTAAAGGAAAGCAATTCCCAAAGGAACAGAACCAAAACAAAACATCGAATTAGACTTTCTAACCTTCTGTGAACCAAGCACATGATGAGCAAATGGCAAGCCATCTCCGCTGGAAGGGACTTTACAGAGACCAGCATCCATCCGTCCTGGACACAGAGGGGGGCAGTAACTTGCCCAAGGTCACACAGCAAGCATGCAACACAGCATCCAATGCAAGTATCCTGGTCTGTAGACTCCTTGGCTAATTTAATAAGATTTTATTTTTGCTGAAAAACTTTGAAAAGGTCGACCATTTTTATTATCCTCCCCCCGCCTTGGGCTCCTATTCATTCAAGATAGATTTTCCCTGCCTACAAGAATCAAACATTTCAAAATAATTGAAAATAGTAAATGCTTGCTTTATCTGGACCTGTCACTACTGATTTAGCAAACAGGCATCAACTGAGGCCCGGAGCCACCAGACATTGGACAAAATCCTCTCTGGATCACTCTGGGTAGCAGAGATGCTTGATTTGTCAGAAGTGAAGAGGAGAACACTTTGTTCGTGCAATCTCCCCTTTCAAGAGTTGCGGTCCACTGAGAAGAGGGTGTCGCTCCTGGTTCATAAACTCTCTCTTAGATAACTGGACTCCTAACATTTTCTTTTTAGTCCACAACAAAACCAATCAACTAACCAATCTCTTCTTTGGGAATCTGTGCCCCTCCTCCCACCTGCACAAGAAAAACGCTGTTAAGGTTGGAAATACACCTGTCACCAAATGTTAGTGGGGCAGTATCCCGAGTCAGGAAAGAGAAGAAGAGAGGGGAAATGGAGGGAAATTCGAATTTTAAGGGGCAGTTCATTGCACTGGAGCAAGGTCAATGTCTTAACCATGGTTATGCAAATGTTATCGTTAAGGGAGGAGCCCTGGTGCTACTGTGGTAAAGTGAGTGGCTGCCAAGACAAGGCAGGTGGTTCTAGCCCAGCAGTAGTTCCATGGGTGGAAGATGAGGCAGTCTGCTTCCATAAAGGTTTACAGCCTTGGAAACGCGAAGGGACAGGTCCTCTCTGCCCTACGGGGCTGCCAAGCTTGGGAAGGGACTCGACCACAGGGGGGTTTCACTGGTTTGGGTATCAGCAGAAGAAGCTGCATTAAGTATATAAGAAATGCTCCGTTTTATTGCTGCAACTTTCCTGTAAATCTAAAATTACTCCAAAATGAGAAAAATGTACATACATTAAAAAAATGTACTTGGAAAAAAAAACACACACGAATAAAACAGTGCCCCCAAATGCATCATATATAAAACAGCCACAAATATCTGAGTTGACCCTTCCTACCTGGGGGGGCGCAACCAGGGCAACGAGGAAAGCAGGGCCTCCCCAGGGAACAAGAGACCGAGCACCACCCCGCAAAAGCAAGAAACATCATAGAACTGGTCACCTTTGCCATAAAATCCCAGGCGCGCTGCCCTACGGCACTGCAGCTTATAGACAGGAGTGCCGGCAAAGAAGTCTTGGTAGACAGCAGGGTGCCTCCAGAGAAGCTGGGGGCCCTGTCCCAACTTTTCAATTGAGGGGTAGAAGACCCTGAATTTTGTGGAAAGATATCAATAGCTCTCCAATTGTTCTTTCCAACCATCCCAGCAAATACCTGTCCCTCATGCTACTCTGAGGCGCAGGGGTTCCGCCTCCTCCGGTTTAAATTCCACCTCCCGGAGACTCCGTCCTCGTTTTCCCTTGGAGTTAAGGTGACACAGAGCAATATTCATTTGCCTGTTGCTTCTGCAAGATCCAAAAGGGGGTCATGCTGAGCAGGCTCTATGTCTGGAGCAGGTGGTGGGAATGAGGGCAAACTTGAGGCGGGCGCACTCTCACCCAGCAGAGGCCTCCTGAAGCAAAGGCAGTCATGGTCAGTGATGAAGTAGGCCGCCCAGCCCATGCACGCTCCAGGGCCACAGGCCCACACTTCAAGGACATGTCTGTTCATACCTACCTCTCCTCTAGGGGCAAGTGTTCTCAGGTTTCAGAAGCCTGCATGGAGAGTGTAGGTTTTACACTGGAAGCAACAAGAGTAAACACACGAGCTAAGGCCTGGCACTGCTCAGGCCTGGCACTGCTCCGAGCCACCACAAACACAAGGAATGGCTCTAGGAGGGTCTGACAGAGACCCAGAGAGCCAACAGGGGACCTGTGGGGAGAGGTCAGCGAGGGGAGATCCTCCTGGGAACCTGGAACTCACAGCCAAGCAGGTTGAGTCTGGGCTGGAACTGAAAGAGCCAGCATTTTTAATGCCTGGGTTACTTGTCAGCCCTTCTACAGTTCAGCACCTTGTGGTGATTAAATTATGAGTCTTTTAAAACTGCTTCTCAATTTGAGTCCGAATGTATAAGTCACCGTTTGGATCAAGAATCTCTAGTGTGTGCATTTATCATCCTGGAATTTCATGCCTCTTAGGGCCAAGGTTAATGGCCTGCTCCTTTATCAATATAGGTAATGTTAGATAAAACCAGAGAGAGAAGGCAGGGAGGAGGGCTGGGGCCTGGATTCCCTCAGTGAGCTCTGCCGGCTGCACCTGCCAACAATATAAGCCGACCAGTGTGCTTCCAGGGGGCTCCCCAGAGGGCCTGGCAAGGTGGAAAATGAATGAAGGAAACCGAGGCCAGAGATGAGGTGAAGCTGTCCCAGGTGCAGTCAGGGCGTGTAGGGTACATCAGGCCACAGGAAGCTGCTTCAGGTCCCTACTACCCAGCAGCCAGCAGGATGGAGCTCAAAACACCTGCCTTCAAGAGGCCAAGAACAGACAGAAGCAGAAGCAAAGGGAGGGAGTGGTGGAGTCACAGGCCAACCCAAGTCCCTGGGTAGGTTTCTCTCTGCAGAACCTGAGCCTAATGCACTGGGTCTGGGTCTGGGTCTCCCTCCCCACCCCCACCCCCACAAGCATCTCTACTTAGTATACTGTGTGTGTGTGTTGGGGGCGGGGTGTCCTCAAATCCACACTGGTTTCCAGGACCCTGGGCTATGAGACTGGCAAACATGCAAATTCCTTTTAAACAGCGTGATTAGATCCCTAGGTACATGTTATAAGATATTTTTCTCAATTAGCACACACAAAATGACAACTGCTCTCACGGGGGTTGGGGGGGGTGTATTTTTGACATTCAGGCCAGGGGGCTCCTCTCCCAACAGGCTGGGGACCACTTACTGATCAGGGTCAGTGCCCCATTTCCACGTGGAGGACCAGAGCTTCCTGGAGGGCAAGCCCCATGCCCCAGGATGCACATACAGCCTCCTCCACAAATGACCTGGTCAGACGGGAGCTCTGCCTAGCAAGCCAACTCCTGGCCTCACCCAGACCCCAGCTCAGCTCCTAGCTCCAGAGTCAGCAAAATAAAATAAAACTTTCTTTCAGAGGTAAAAGCCTAGAGAACAAGGAAGAACAGCAATGCAGTATGGGAGGCCACCGACTGCGTACCGGTACTTAGTATCATCCTCACTTTCACTCTCGCGAGTCCACTCCCTCCCCAGTGCCTGGTTAATAGCATCCATTGCCCATACTTGTCTTCAAAGCCCGCCAGGGCAGGGTCCAAATCCCTTTTCCCTTTACTACATCCAACGCGTTTCTGCTGCCTGAAGTAGACGGTCCTGTTGTAAAGTTCAGTAAAACGTGGCCCAAAGAGGCTAATGAATTGCCGAAGGACACACAGCAGGTGAAGTGCGGAAGGAAGAGTGCCACTCTGCCCATAACCGTTCCTCCTCAAGCCACAGCCTTACCTTGACGGCCTCGGCGTGGGTCACCCGGGACAGAGACTTGTCGTTGACACGCAGAATCTGGTCCCCGACCCGCAGCCCTTCTTTCTCGGCCAGAGAACCCGGTTCCACCAGCGACACATAGATTCCCACGCCGTGCTCCGAGCCCCCGCGGATGCTGAAGCCCAAGCCCTCGTGGGCCTTGGCACGCCGCAGACTCACCAGGCGTACCTCCCCGGGCCCCGCGCCGTCGGGGCCGCCCCAGGAGGGCTGCCTGTAGGAGGAGGTAGTGGGCAGGTAGAGACCCTCCGCCGTGTACTGGTCGAACAGCAGCTGGTCGGAGCGTGGGATGACCAGGCGCAGCATGGGCAGCAGGCGCCGCTTGACCGGGCTGTCCAGCAGGACGCGCAGGGTGCGCACCAGGTCAAAGACGTTGCGGCGCGCGTGGTAGGCGTTCAAGCAGTGGGTGAACTGCTCCCGCTCCGCCTCGCTCAACAGCGCGGTCAGCGCCTGGTGCAGTTGGCGCACGTTGGCCGACAGCAGCCGCAGCCCCGAGCCCCCGCCGCCGCCGCCCGGCCCGGCCGCCAAGACCAGCGAGCCGGTGGAGGACGAGCTCACCGACAGGCCGTCCAGCTGCGCGTTCATCTCCCCGCCGAGGCCCGCACGGACTTGGGGCGCGCAGTCGGGCGGCTGCTGCACTTGCGGCCACTGGCGCGGCAGCCCGATCCCCGGGGGGAGCGCAGGGAGGGCGGCCGGAGACTGGGTTGGAGGGGCGCAGAGACCGGGGCTGGATAGCAGCGGTGCGCTGAGCCCGCGGCTCGGAGTCCCGAGCGCGCGGGGCGCGCGGGGCGCGCGGGGCCGGCGGTGGCGGCCGGAGTCCGGGGATCGCGGAGAGGGCGGCGCGGCGTCCGGGCGCGCGCAGGGAGCAGCTACATTCCGGAGGGCACGGAGACGGCGGTGGCTGGAGTCGGGGGCGCGGCCAGGCTGACCGCCCCGTCACACCATCCCCGGGGCTCCCCCAGCCGGGCTGCCCGCTCCTCTTGGGCTGGGGGACCCCAAAGTCAGAAGTTGGAGCGGGGGCGCTCTACTCCCAGAACCCCCCAAGCCGCCGCCGCCGCTGCAGCAGCGCGGGTGTCAGGCAGGGGCTGCGGGGCATGTCCGCGGCAACCCGGGGTGCAGCTGCCCGGGGACCCCCGCGCCCCTGCGCCGATGGGGCGCCCGCAGAGCCACGCGGACGCGAGCCCGGACTTTGGGAACTGTTGAGCCGCCGGGGGCAGCGTCTTCCAGTGAGTTCCGTCGCCGTCGCCGCGGCCAGCCAGCCTTGGCCCCGCCCCTTGCCCCTCCCCCTCGCCGCCCCCCTCCCCCCGCGGGCTCTTCAGGAAATGACGTCCCGCCTAGCGCCTGGCGGTTGCCTAGAGACGGGGTGAAACAGTCCGGCCCTGGGGGGGAAAGGGGTGAAAGTGGGGATAGGGGTGGGAGGTGTCCTGCGGGCACTGCAAGCCCCAACCCCAACTTCTCCAGCTTTGGAGGTGTCGCGGGAGGACTCAGGAGGTGCTCCTCTGCGATCGCTCGGAGCGTGTGCAGCAGGATCGCTCTGGAGCAATTAGCCAGCAGGCTAATTCGCAACCGTGGGAAAAATAACCAACTTTTCCCCTAAAATGTACTGGGCACTTCACACGAGGTCCTCTTAAAATGCTGCGCTTCTCCCTTGCACATGCACTGCGATGCAAGTTCAAGTTCAAGTGCTGTGAAAGAGAGAGACAGAGAGAGGTAGGGGGTGTTTGTTGAACACCTGCTGTATATAAGCTATGTATTACGTACATGCAGATATGATCGGTACAGAGAGTCAACCTCTTTGCTGATTCTGATGTACTATATATAGATATTTCACAAAGATCTATAGGACAGGGTAGAACTGCCCTTGTGAGTTTCACAGTTATGGGAGTAGAAAGCCCCATCTTTCTCCCAAGGTGGTTTCCAACTGCCTTTCTGATTGCAGCCCAGAGTAACCTCTATACCACCAGGGATATGCTTCAGTATTGACTTAATGGGAGTGTATACAATTATGTAAGATGCCAACATTTATATATATAAATGTTTGCAAGGGGGAAGAGCACCATGTTGAGGTAGAGAGCTAAGTCTGGAATGTCCAGCATTTTCCAGGAAAAAGGTTGAATATAAATATATATACATGTATATATATATTTCAACAAGTTCATGGAAAATTCCATCATATTTTATTTCCATGTTTCCATAAACTTTTTGAAGCCCCTCCCCCCCCCACACACAACACCAAGTCTCCTTTATATATAAAGATTCTCTGCTCTTCCACATCGAGGTCAAATGAGGAGATCCTGGCACCATAACATCAAGGCATGGCCTACTGCCTTGCATCCCTTGTGACAAAATACAATCACATAAAGGCTCCATGCTTTAGCTCTGTGTTTCCATGTAAAGGAGGCTTCCTAAGGAATCTCTTAGTCATCTTTGCCCCATTCCCCAGCGAGCGCGCGCGCGCGCGCGCACACACACACACACACACACACACACACACACACACACACTCCTTCCAAGTCAAACTGTAACCCAGACATCTTCTGGTAGAAACGTCTGGAGTTGCCATTGCAGAGCCAGCCGACTTCTACTTGGAGGAGGGAGAGAAGCTATGCTACCTGAAGGAGAAGGTTTAAGGGGGCCTAGAGGATGGATTTGGGTCTGCTGCGAAAATGAAATTTAGCCACTCTCTGAAGACTGGACTGCACTGAGCTCCTTCATCAACTAGTGGTTTCAGTGTTTGGAGCTTGCATTTGCACTAAGGAGGTAGTAAAGATTCCTTTATTCATTCACCCGCTTATCTGTAGCTAACTCTTCATTCAACACTTTCCAAACATTCTGTGCTAGGTCAGAGACAAACATGCTGACTTAAGGAGGTTGTAGTCTAGCAGAGGAGAGAAAAGAGCCTGGGTAAATAATCAGTTAAAGCCCAGTATGCTAAATGCGATATGGCTGAGAAAACTCAGGGTCAGGCAAGGAGAATAAAGGAGAGCCTTTGCAGCAGAGCAAACACCTGAACTGAAGACACCTAAGGAGGATGGACATTCTTCTCGGGACAATGAACAAGGGGAAGGGTTTCCAACACTGTCGGTCAAATGCACTCCCCAAACTGAGGCAGAAACAAACTTAAGTTTCCCCTAAAATCTTCCATCTTCTTCTCCATGTCCCCCCGATAAACCTATATTACATTCATATCTGGTCAACATATTTGATGTTCACCCGTTAAGCTCACTTTGGACATCTGAGCTCAGTAGATAACGGTGTCTTTATTCCTCCCTCTTCAAGGCCCTTGAAGCCTTTGTGCAACTAGCCAAGATACTTAAGAAAAAAAAATCAATCTCCCTCACCCCCAAAATGCATTAATGCCGTACTTCAAAATGCCACCAAGCAGGGCTTAATTGTATGCAGGTCAGGTATTCTGCAGTGCATTTCATGCTTAGCTTTCACTTAGTTTGTGTTCTAATTATAATTACTGTGATTGGCTTGATAAATGCGTCCCAGGAGCTAGGATCCCCATTCCTAACACTTTTATTTCTGTGCAAAGGATGTTTGTGAAAAGGTATTTTGCTTCAGGCAGCAGAAACCACGTTGTGCCTGGCTCAGGACAAAAAGACACGCTCTCTTCGGCTAGCAGTAGAGACCATCTGGGATGCTGTGCTATTGTTTCGTTGCATGGAGGCCTGCTTTGGGAGGGCAGCGCAGTGTGTGAGCAGAGAAGGGAAATCATGGGGTTCTTCCTTCCATCTAACATAGCCACCTCTGTATCGGTTTGCACTTTGTACCCTCAGACTCAAGGCGGTGTATAACAGTGCTCTAACTCCAAGAATCCTATTTCACGTCTGAGGCTGCTTGTCGATCAGAAATAATCGCTTGGAAACCCAAGATGCCTGGACTCCTGAGGGCTGAACTGCCTGGAGCCTTTAAGATCGGGAAGTGGAAACGCTGCGTTCAGAGCAGACCTGGCCTTGGCTGCCTACTGCCCTCTTCAGAAGGAACATTGCTATTTCAAAGATGCTGCAGGCTTCTCTTCGGTTTCTTCACCAAAGCTCATTGGAAGCTTTATTCATGACTGCTTCCCCTTCTGAGTAATCAATGTCCTTCCCCCTTTGGATGGTGCTTGAACCTGAACTCAGAGGAGCCATTGAAAAGGCAGAAGGGAAGAAGGGTGGACCTTACTCAGCTGAGCAGTGCTTTAGCTTGAACTGGATTTTTTGTTTGTTTCTTACTGTTTGTTTCGGCCAAGAAGCAACATATTGGGTTGCACTCTCTCAGGTAGCAAGCCATCATTCCCATCTCAGAGCCTTCCTCTCCCTGCGACTTCCCCTCCCCCCTGTACAATGGAGCTTCTGAGCCTCCCAGTCTCCCTCGAGGGCAGTTATAAACACCTTAACAAAACTGTTTTCTGTTCCACAGTCACTTCTGTTTTCCCCTTCCCCTCTTATCCATTGACATGTACCCATAGAAGGCAGTAGAGATTAATATAACGATGCATTTCCCATGGGACATACGGCATGCTACAGCCAATGTTTACTGAGTGCCAGGCATTGTTGGGGCACGTTCGGATTTTAACTCCCTCTGAGCCTCCAACTACACTACAAGGAAGGTACGATTATGGCCTTCATCATCATCATCCCTAAACAATAGGAAGCGGAGCTGCAGGGACATGACTTAGCCAAGGTCACCGAGCTAGGTAATGGAAGAGCTGGGGTTTGAGCTATTGCTCTCAATCACGGGGGCTGTTTGCCCCTTGCATGCTTGGTGCAGAGATGCTGAAAGACCCTAAATCAGGATGGTCTAAGGACCACATTTTCTCTAGAAAGTTGGATTAGAAATGTCTGAGGTGGAGAGCCAGTCACTGCAAGGCTCTCTGGGTGGTAAGTTGACCGCCATCAAAAGAGATGGAGATAGAGAGGATTTAGGGCCTGGTGGGGTGGTGGTGGGGTCTCTTGGCCTGAATGAAGGAGGAGAATGAGCGGGAGATCCAAAGCTCTCAGAGACCAGGAATCTCTGGGAACCTTTCCTAGCCCTGGATTTCGGGGTGGGGGGTGGGGGTGGGGGAAGGGCAGGGGGAGAGAGAAGCAGCTGGAATTGTCACGTCTGCACCAGGACCACAGCCTGTCTCTTTCCTGCAATGTCAGTGGGAACAGTATCAGTAGAGAAAAGGGAGTCGTTCTCCTGTATAACTGGTAGATAATACAAACAATATTGATGGCAGGGCAGAGAGATAAGCAGAAAGAAAAGAGAATGCACACAACATCTGAGAAAGAGGAGAGATACAGTCATTTATCTTGCCTTGACTGTAATCCACAGAGTCTGTCTCATGGTCCCCAAGATTCATGTAATGTTTGTGCTGGAAGGGCAGAGCATTAGAACACAGTGTTGCTCCCCGGGTTCAAATCCTACAGAGGGCAGTTGTGCCTAGATCCCTTACCAGTAAAATGGGGGCCGTGGTGCTGTTACTGGCCTTGTGGCAATTTGAAATTGAGCTCATGTACGCCAAATGCTTATTAGCATTATGCCTGGTGCTTGCTGAGCATCCCTGCGATGCTTGGTATCTTCATAAAAGTTCTCTTGCCAGACTGAAAGCAAGC